ACCCAGCAGCACTGAGAGGTAAATTCTGAAGCCTCCAAAGAGGTAAAACTGTAAAGCTATACATAAAAGTTATTCACTGCATATGGAATTGGGAAATACCACACTATATATCTGGTAACAGTTTATCTTTCCTATATAATAAAAAGAACCTTTTTAAATAGTTTCAACTACTCAAAAAAATTTTTTTTTCTTTTTTTGAGACAGGGTCTCACTATACAGTTTGAGCTGGTCTGAAACTCACTTTGTAGCCCAGGCCAGTCTCGAATTTACAGCAATCTTCTGGCTTCTGCCTCCCAAGTGCTGGGATTACAGGCATGCACCACTACACCCGGCCACAACTACTTAATTTAAGCCATTGTCATAATCTGAATTGTTCTAACTACTACGTATCATTGCGGTAGAATGCTCTTACTCAGGCATTTGAAAGGACAAATTCAGGATATGGTTTGGATTCACCAGGTAAGAGAAATTAAAATATGGTCTGCTCTTTGTTGCTTCATACATATTTGGACTGTGGGCTCAATATTTTAACCATGGGTGGTGGCATAAGCGCCTGCCTGGCAAGCGCAAGGTCATGAGTTCAATCCTCAGTTAAAAAAAAAAAGAAAAGAATTTAACCACAAGTCTTATATAATCAGAATAGTTTACATTGTGCTTGAATGACAGCAGTGACAGAACACTTAACACAAAGATGTCTTTGGTGACTTAACACAAAGATGTCTTTCTCACACTAGTCCATAAAGAGTACTTGGGGACCCTACTCAGAGCCCAGCAGGGACTTAGGCTATTGGAGACTATCCCACCACTTTAAAAACTGCCTTCTCACCCAAAATTTGCTCTAGCAGAAGGAAGCATTGGAAACTTTAAGAGCTAGCAATTAAATGCTTCAACATGGATGTGACACAAATCACTCCCAGTCATATCCCTTTGGCCAGAACCAATTATACAGCTATGTAGAACTTCACAGGGGTGGGGAAATGTGATCCCTGTGTACCCAAAAATAGAGGAGCCAGATACAAAATGACATTAGTAATATCTAGCAGAAGTTCATTCTGCCACCCCACTTCCCTAAGAAAAAATGATCCATATTTTTATCAATTTTGTAAACTACAATTTTAAAGCAAATCCTAGTGGTTTGCTTGAGCCCCAAGATCCAATAAGCCAGATCTAACTTGGAAATGACATTCACATAAGTTAATTGAATGTCATTCTTTAATTTAAATGCCCCATTTGCAGTACAGAACCAGTATGCACCAAACCACAAAATTCCTTTCCACAAGGATTTAGGCCCATGAGGCATTCAATGAATTGGAATGGAAATCCAGTCATAGGCATGAGAAATGTAATTAATTCAAGGATTATTATCACTGAATGTGTGCTGATCCTAAACAGAAGAGTCATATTTTGCATGTTCTTTGCTTGAGACTTAGATGTAGTGAGACAGATGTTATGTTTTAAATATTTTAAACAACTTACTATTAAATGAAATAATTAATCAATAAAAATCATGATCTTTAGTTTAGTCCTGATATACTGTCCATGTCTGTATATTCACATTGCCCAATTCTTATAAGATGGCCCCTAGATATCATGTTTAGCAAGAAGAAAGTCAGAAAAATATTCGCAGTAATTTAGGTCCATTATTTTTTCTTATTTAAAATAAGACCTGTCTCAGGCAAACACATCAAAATTAAAGTAAACATACGTATTAGGGGCTATGACATAGAACACTGTCCAAAACTCCCCAGAAGGCTGAACAGGAAGCAGGGTGGACAGTACATGGAGAGCAGCTTCCAGAGACCGGAAAGGAGGACCTCGCTGCAAGTCAGCCTGTCAGGGATAAATTTGTTTCCTCAGTAGGGGGATGACTCCTTGTCACTTGAGAAGGTCAAACCAAACCAGAGCCATGGGCTCTTGCAAGAACAGGAATGACTTGGAAAATGAGGGATGGTGGGCACTTGGGAAGCCCTCTCAAGACGGACCAAGTGTTGACATGAAGAGTCCAGGTTCTGGAACAGGACTGCACAGGTTTCATTCCTGTTCAACACTGTTGATCTTGGGCAATTTACTCAACCTCCCTGTGCCTCAGCTTCCTCATCCCTAGGATGGATAACAGTGGGTGATAGTTCTCCTACCTCTTGAGGTGTTGGGAGGATGCAGTGAGTTAATCTATGTAATAAAGCATCTTTGAAAGTGCTGGGTGTATGGTAAATCGCCCAATCCTAGCATTCCTATGTGTTTTAACTGGGGTGCTCTTTTTTCCAGAGAAAGCAGTAGCAATACAAAAAATATAACTTTTTATTACTGTGAATTAATTTTTAATTAAAACATTAACATGGAACTATTACACAACCAATTAGGGAGTGTGTAGCTACTTTGCCAAATAGAAGATTTATGGGTTTGGGGCTGGGGATTTTAGCTCAGCAGCAAAAGCGCCTGCCTTGCAAGTGCGCAGTCATGAGTTTGATCCCTGGTACCAATAAATAAAAAAAAAAAAGATTTATGGGTTTGATGCTTTGGCATTCAGTTTATTTCTGAGTTTGTTTCAGTTTGCAACTCTTAAGGAGTTTTTGATTCACAAGGTATACATACATTAAGAGACAGGTTACCCCCCCCCCCCGGGGGATTGAACTCATGACCATGTGTTTGGAAGGCAGGCACTTCTGCCGCTGAGCTAAATCTCCAGCCCAAGAGACAGGTAGTTTCTTAAGTATAAGTAGGAACAGTTTTACTATAATAAGCCTCTTTCATTCTATATTACAAATATAATTTTTCTTCTCTCCATTACAGAGCTCTGTTACAAAATGAAATTTCTCAGTTATATTTTGTTTCAACTTCATTTTATTTTTGTTCCTCTCCATTTTTGTGATGTTTATATCAAATAGAGAACTCTGGCTTTCAATGGTAAGGAGAATTAGTGGCTTTTACTAACACACACTGGGATCTATAAGTTCCAAATTTATAAGTAAATCCAAAATCAGTCTTCCTGGCCAGCTAGGTCAATGCCCAGTGCTACTCTTGTTTATATTCTCTTCTCCTGACAGCTTATGTAAAAAATTTTTTTTCTTTAAGTCTGGTTCAGTTTATGGATCCCTGAACAAGAGCAGAGAAGAAAGAGGTCATGAGTTCAATCCCTAGAACAAACAAAAAAAGTCTTCATCTATGCTGATGCCATGATTTTCCAACCAACCAAAGGAGATTAGTCATTTTGCTAAGCTGCCACTAAATGGCTTTGTATCAGTGTCACTATTGCCAATTTCTTTGCAGCAAGGACTTTCCAGTGCACAAGTGGTCACTTCCAATAACTTTCTGTAGTAGTCCAGGTCACTCCTCAGTTTAAGGGTGATGCCTTGGTGACTCATGGAACTCCCCAGAGGAACTGATAATTCAAAGTCAATATTCTACAGCAGCTTTAAACTATGGGCTTCTAGTGCTCTCCTGTTCAAAATCTCTGGAGTTTATCTTAAAGAGAACAGGCTGTTCTATCATTATTTAGAAATATAAGTTGAGCAGATTTAAATGATAAAAGGACTTCTTTGCAGCCCTCATCATGTCCAGAAGATAGTCTCAAAGAGGATAACCCTAGACTTTACAAGGCAGAGCACCAGAGTGGTTAGGGTGACTCGAATCAACCCAAAAGGAAGATATTCCTGGGAAAATCCTGGCTGCAAACCCCTGCTGCCATGATTTCTAGATTCCCTTTGTCATAAAGAATATTCTGGGAGCCTTCAGCAGAATGAGCCATCAGATGAAATAGAAGCTGCCCAGAGGAATTTACAGTCTCATTCCCTTGAGGCTGCAGCCAGGGCTGGGGGACAGACGAGTGCCAGGATTGCAGGCAGCACATGCGGGCAGTGGACAAGAGGGACTCTCAGTGTGCCTCTTCACTGGTCTGCATCTGCCGTGCACCATTTTCCCTGTCCTGCTCACCTCTTTAATCTTTGACTTGAACTTACTATAAGTCTGCTTTGAGTTTAGCGTTCAGATCCTGGAGCTTGGCTTTGTGACCACAGAAAGTTACTTAACCACTCTCTTTCTTCCTCTAGTAAATATGTTCACCCTAAATCACCAGTTTCCTATCTTTCTGTTCCTTTTCTTGGTGGTCATGAATACCTCTGGTGACTTCTGAGCAATGAGCAATGAGTTCTTTGTGGGGCCCGAACTGACCCGAGCCCATCATTGTTCAGACTGAGCCTGGGGCTCCTTTTGACTCTAGGCTGGCTCTTTCTTTGACTTGGGTCAGTTTCACTCTGTTGGAAAGATGCTTTTCTCTTTACTTACATATTTGCTGTCATTCCACATTCTTTAAAGACTACATAGCCCATTCTCTCGCTAAATAACATTCCAAGGCAGCTATTGTTTAAACTAGGAATAGCTTTCATTTGTTTGCATTTCTTTGAATTTGCTCCCTATGTTATCTTTTACTTGACTTTAAATAAAAGCATGATATGCATGGAGTTCCTTCCATGTATCAGATGCTTTTGATAAACATAAGCGCCAGGTATTATCGTAAAACGAATTCTATACATTTAGAATGTGAAATTAATCATTTTTGTTGCTAGTTAATATGCACTGTCACTTTACTGTAGTATTTTTACTGTCAGGATGTAAGAACACCAGATCATTTTGAAAACTTGCACATTCACTCGGTTTTTATCCATACCTGGGATAACCTTGATCCTAAAGCGGCTGCAGGCCCAGTACCTTTCCACTTGGAATCAGGGGCCCAAATAGATGCATGATGCCTGGGAGGAAATAATAAGCCTGCTTAAGTGACAGCTGACACCAGGTACCCTTTTGAGCCAGAGGAATGACATAATGACAGCAGCTTCTTGGGAAGATAAATTTCACAGCCACATGCAGAATAGATTACCTGAAACCACAACATTTAGCCTTTCTTACACTTTCACATCTGGGGGCATGATTTAAAAGCTCATAAATATGATCGAGATCTTCAAGTGGGAACTGGTAAGAATTAAGGATTTCAAGGTTCCACAAAAGAAGGTGAAGGATCAGTGTTTATTCAACTGGTTTGCATGTCCTAAATATTTATATACACAAGTGTATATCATAAGTATGGTCACTTAGAAGCCATGTGTCTGCATAAGATCTGCCAATGCCGTACCTTTTGGGTTAAAGTCACAAAAGAGGGAAAATAGTCTGCCCACATGAGCATTATTCATCTGGCTGCCACCTGAGTTATTATTAAGGAACACATTGAGTTCGACAGATAACCCTGTTCTTTGCCATTGTTCAAAAGATGCATGAAAGAGCCTAAGTATTTCAGCCAAATTTCTTCCTTCTGAGAATGCATCAAATACCATGTTTTTATTCCTCAGTAAAATAAATGTGCATATAAGGTGCATCTACAGGTGATGAAAAAGTAAGGAGGAATTGTCTTTTATTTAATGTCTTAGTGATGGTAGCCCTAACCAGCAAGCTCTTGTGTTGGATAATAGCGTCTCCTGAGGAACCTGGTGTTTTTCTTTGAGTCATAATATTTCCCAGTTTGATAAACCAACAGTGTCCATTCCCAGGGAGACAAATGAGAAAAAGATCTATTACTTTAGCAAGTAGCTTTGGACCTAGGAATTCATTATGGGAGGAAGGTTGTGGTATAGGTGCATAGGGTATGTGTGATGCATAGGGCTTCCAGGAGCTGTAAAAAGAAGCTGCTATAGGAAAGGCTGAAACAATTCAGTTCATTCCTTGGATGGGGAATGGGGTGCATGGGAAAGAGTTCTGGGGAAAAATCAGAAAGCAGCCCCAGAAATATAAGCAAGCATATATATGTACTTCAGTCAGCCACCTATGAGGGCCTATTCTTCCAGGTAAAGAAGAGTTTCCATTGTTTTTTTTTTTTAATTTAAAAGGAAAAAAACAAAACAAAACAAAGCGGTGTAAGGGTACAAGTAATACAGAACTACAAAAAAAAAAGTAAGAAATCACTAGTTAATAGATTACACATTATCATCTTAGAGATGGTTGCTCAAGTCGCAGTATCAAAGCATACAAAGTGAACATTCAAACAGACTAAATACAGTTGTGTTCAATGATCCAATCAAAAACATTAATATGGTCATCTATTTAACGCCCCTAAACACACTTGCAGTTGTATCTTTTAGAGCACTTTTTTTCCTCTCTTTTTTATAACAAAATTTACACATTTTGGGTTTTATTACTCCTTAGTTCTTATTACTTTTTTTTTTGGAAGAGAATAAAGTCAAATATGGCAAAACAAAGCTGTCAGTCAAAACCAAGAATAGACATAGCACATGATGTAAAAACAGAGTACAAGGTTATCAACAATGGTTACCATAATGCCTCTTGCTTCCTTAAAAAGAATTGTCTATCTCATTAGGTATTATAAAGTTGAACAAAACAGTAGAGAATAAGACCAATAAAACCTAAACCTTATAAACATTACAGGACTTCCAAAGAAGATAATAGTCAAACCAGAATGGGCATCATAGTGAATCTTATTGCCTTCAAAGTAGTTGCCTATACCCTCAAACTTGATACTCATACAGAATGGAACAGAGTCTAATCAGTCAAAACAAGATAGTGGGAGTATTACAGGACTTCAAAGCAAGTTAATAGGAAATCAAAAAAGTTACTATAATATATCCTGCTAATTTTTTTGATTTTTCCCCTTAATTAAAAAAATCATAAAAAATAACTAATTTTTTTTAATGAATAAGGCAGAGATTGAGATAAAACATGACATAACAACATAACAATACAGGTCAAAGCATGACAGTTTCAGCAACCTAGTGCTTCACCACCAAATAACCCGACTTACTAGTAGTTACCATGGTGTCTTTTTCCTTGAAATGTTTGAATATAACTTCATATACTATAGCTTCAAACGTATCAAGTCAGTGTAAAACCATTCAAGTGGATGAAAGCACTGTAGGGTATTTAGAACGGGTATTTTAACAGAAAACGAACAATGGTTTCTATATTATCTTTTTGCCTATAACAATTTTTGTTTATACTATCACATATAATAAAATCCAGCAAGATACATCATGATAAAACCAATGGAGACAGAAGAGCCCTAGTTTGGTAGGGCTTCAAAACAAGATGATAGTAAATCAGCACTAGCTATTACGATGACTTATTTTCTTTGAAATAGCTGTTCATTTCATCACAGGCAATAATATCAAGCAACCCAGAATAAAGCCATTCCAATTAATAAGTGAAAACTTTATAAGGCTTCAAGGCCACATAATGGGGGAATCATGATTATCACATACTTTTATATATTTGAATCATTACTTACATTAGGGAAACTATTCAGTATTCATACATGCGAGGTTGATTTATTTCACTTATGACTATGGTCTCAAGCTGCGCCCATTTATTGATAAATATCTTAATGTGATCCTTCTTTATATCTGAGTAATACTCCATTATATAGAAATACCACAACTTTTTTATCCATTCCTCAGTTGATGGACACTTGGGTTGTTTCCAAGATCGGATGATTACAAATTGTGCTGCTATAAACATAGGTGCACATATATCACTGTGGTATGATGCTTTCAGTTGGAAGAGTTTCTGTTGTTTTAAAGGACTGTATGACCTGCAGAAGAGAAGGAGTCTGGGCTTTGGAGTCACAAGGCCCTTCCCTCAAACCCACCAGCACCACTTCTGGGGGAATTTCAACACGTTACCTCCTCTGGGCCCCAATGACATAGGGATAGTAATTCCTACCTCCAAAGTTTCAACAGAATTAAACAAGTTAACATATATGAGTACATGATGCATGCTCTGGCCAAGAGCTACCACATTTATTCCAGGAGCTTCCTACTACCTATGTCCTCAGGAGATGCTCAGATCCCTGCTTGCATCTGTTTTTCACTTACAATTCATCTATGGCTGTGATCCAACCTGCCTGGGCTATGGGCTCCCTCCAACAGCCCCTCTTGCTGTTCCTAAAATGAACAGAACCCTTGATCCATTCTTAAGGCTTTCCCTAGCTTGCCTCCAAGGCAAACCAGGAAATGCTAACCAGAGCAAGCACATTTTTTTGGGAAAAAAAAAGAGTGAGACAGAGGTAGCAATTATAAGCAATCTCTGAAGTCTTGATTGCTATCACCCCAGAACATTATTAAAACATAAATATGTTGCAGTGATTTCCCAGTTACAACTCTAGCTTCCAACACCACTTGAGAATCGCAGGTGAATAGAAATGGGATTGAAGAGGACAGGAAAAGAGTCCCAGCTCCTCTGTGGGTGCAGAAGTGTATTATGTGAGATAAAGGATCCCAAGGCCAGATTGCTAAGGTCTGTGGAGAGAAGCAGAGGCAGCCCCAAGGAGAATGACAGGCAGGCCCTCATTTTTCCAGCCCCTACTGTGCCAGTTCTAAACTAGGTACTGTCACCACATTTCGTTTAAACCTCACAAGAGATTGTAGATTATCCTATATCACCCTCACTCTACAGGTAGAGAAACCAGGGCCCAGACAACAGGATCCCCTTAAAGTGAAGGTGCACCAGCAGCCATGTAGCCAAAGCACAGCGTTCGAACATAGGAGGCCACAGAGGAGAAATTCTTCTGTCATATGATGGGAATGGAAAGGAGGTTAAAGGAACCTAAACTGGGAGATCTAAAGGCAGGAAACTAGGTGTAAACCCAGATGTAGCTTTCCAATGAAGATTTAGGAGGGCTGGCAAAAGAAAGAGGCCTACATTACAGAAAGTAAACTTCAGATTCAAGGTCAATCTCGGCAGTCCTCCCAGCCACTCTGGTCTGCCACCATCTCCTGTCTTCCACCTGCCTCCCGTCTCTGTCCTTTTCTTCTCTTGCCAGCTCTAGAAGCAAAATCAGATGGTTCCATGTAACCTACTCAGTTTGGTCATTATCTCTTTGTCACCTTGGTTTCTGCCACCCCCTGGACCTCAGGGTCTCATGGCCCCACCCCAGGCATTTTATCTTAAGTATTTTCACAGTGACACTTTGCTCTCTAAAAGGAGCTGCTGTTATTCTGCTGGTAGAGAAAACCATTCTCTCATGGTTCCAAAGATTTAAAGAAAAGAGATAAATTGCTTAAATATGAGAAAACAATAAAATCCTCCTCCAGTGGAACAGGAGGCCATCGCAGGGTTGTGAGAAGGAGTATCTAGGCGAGAAGCCCTCTCTTGGCAATGTGGAGAAGTCACTTTGCCTCCTGAGCCTTGGATTCTTCATCTGTGAAGCCGAGGAACCAGTGGATGGGCCCCAGAGCCTTTCCTGCTACCCCCAGACTGTGTTTGTGAACATATCTTCTCTCACCTTTGCCCCCATTAAAAATCTCACAGGGCAAAACTTTCCAAATTTCCACTGGGATCCAAAGGTGATCATTTGTGTTGTCTTTGTTTTGACTGGATGGAGAGTTGATTGTCATTTGGGAGCTGGGATGCAACTTGAGAAAAGAAGAAAGAATGTGCAGTAAACAAGAGGTGACCTGAAAGGTCAAATGATCCCAGATTGCAGCAGCTTTGGTCTTCCAGGATGCATCTGAGAAAGGGAAAGAATCGTTTTCAAATTGGCTATCAGGAAACCCATGAAAAAGCGCAAAATCTCCCTCATACCTTGCTCATTGACCTGAAAATGTGTATAGTGACGGGCGTTAGTGTGTGAGCCCGGGGCAGATGCCAGCTCTGCTGCTTATTGTCACTTGGGAAAGCTGCTTCCTCTCTCTAGGACCTGAGTTCCTACCGGAGAGAACTGCAGTGGGAACTAACAATTTTATTATAACTGGCAATTCTTCTTAAAATAGCAAGAGGCAGTATGGTAATTGTTGTTGATCACCTTGTATTTTGTTTACATTATCTATTATGTCCATCCTTTTGATTTGACTGACTCTGTTCTGATATGTTGCATTTGGTTTTACTCTCTTCAAAAAAAGTGATAAGAACTGTGGGAGTAATAAAACCCAAAATGTGTAATTGTCATTGTACAAAAGAAAAGAAAAGAAAGTGCTCTAAAGGTTATAACTGCATATATGTTTAAGTGTATAAGATAGATAACCATATTACTGAGTGTTTTTGGATCATTGAACAAAACTGTTTGCTCACTGTTTTTTAAGTCCACTTTATATGCTTCAATTTTGTAACTTGAACAACTGTTTCTAAGATGAGAATATGTAATCTATTAACTAGTGATTTCTTACTGTTTATTTTTGAAATTTTGTATTACTTGTACCCTTTTTCTGTTTTTTCCTTTTTCTCCTTAAATTAAAAAAAAAAAGAAGAAGAAGAAGACATAGTGTCTGAGCCATCTTGAATATAATGCATGCTCAGTATGGAGTGACCAAGGCGAGTCAAAGCAGCTCAGATTAGAGGATAGTTCATGATTTACCAACCCCTTTTTAAAATTTCAAGAGCAGAGATGTATGAGTAACAGCATTTTAACACAAGGAGACACACTGTTGGAGCCTGTAAGCAACTTGCCCAAAACCCTACAGGGAAAATGTGATACAGCAAGTAGTAAGACCTATTTTTTTTGGCCCAGAAATTTCTGTAATATTCCATCAGCTTTTTAGCTATTTCCAGAGGACAAGATCCAGGAAGTCAGAAAAGGAACTGCCCACTGCACGACTTTTGGCGTGCAGAGCAGAGAAACCAAATCTATGTGGTAGATAGAAGCACTTCAGTGAAGAGCATTGGCCATCTCTCCTCCATATAAATCTCTCTGAACCCACCAGGGCAGGAGTCAGCAAGCCTTAGAAAGCTGTAGGTTTCCCTAAACCTTGCAAATCCAGCCGGGAGCCAATCCAGCCATCTTCTGTTTTTGTAAATAAAGTTTTATTGAAAGCACTACAGACATCAGCTGTCCTCGACTGTTCACATGCCACAGTAGCTCAGGTGAGTGGCTGCAACAGAGACTGCAATGTGAAATACTTCTTACCTGGCTCTGCACAAGGAGGTTGGCAGCCCCTGGATCTTAGACAGCACTTCTCAAACCTGGCTGTGCATGGGAATTGCAGAACTGAAGGTGCTACTGAAATGAAAGTGCTGGGTTAGTAGGCCTGGAGTGGAGCCCTAGATGTCCAAAGAAACCTCTAGCTGATCACACTTGAGTAGCAAGGACCTAGGAAAGATGACACAATGCTTATTATTCCTGATTTTTAAAACAGTTGAGAAATATAAAAATGCACATTAGAAGGATTCCCATTGCCCAGTAAAGAATTTCCAATTTTAGAGGAAATGAAAGGGGAGGGAGAGAATTAGTGTACCCAGATTCACTGAACAGATGAAAGACCGTAACTCAAAGATGACTGCACTTCCAAGTGAAGCTTCCACCTAAAGAATACTAACCCCCAGGTCCCAGGCGGTGGACTTGCTTCCTTATGTCCTCGCCCGCATAGCCCATTCATCCTCAGCCCTTTCGGTCCTCCCTTTGGCCTCCTTCCTGTGCCCCTGTGCACCAGTCTCCCCCTTGCTCTGTGGTCCAGGCTGCCATCACTTCGTACCCATCCTAGTGCAGTAGCCCATGGGCTTCTCAGCCCTCCTCCCTCCAGTCCTTTCGGCTGTCCTCAGAGATCACCCCGTGACATCTAAACAACCCCACAGCCCCCAGTGTTGTAATTCATTTACACAGGTTTCTAAGCATTCTCTTCTTAAACATTCAGGAAATAAACGGCCTGAACATTCCTCTCACATGTTTTTTTAACATTCCATGAAAATATTTTAAGAAATGAATCATAGCTTAAGAACGTGGCAGAAACTTGAACATAAGAGCACAATGGTTATGAATTCAACTGAAATCTCGGTGTCCACCAGACTTTTTGTGTATCTTGACCATCGTTCTTTTAAATGTTTAGCCACTGTTCCTGTCCCTGTACTACTTGTCTATGTGATTATCTCTCTGTGAAGGCTTGTAGGTGCCATCTTGTGGAGGAAATTGCAAACAGGCGTGTTCAGAGTTGGTCTGTGTGCCAAAGAAATGACAGAGATGCATACAAGTGTCTGTCATTGTCCCGTGGTCTCAGGATTCACCAGTCCCCTGAGGGCCTCCATGTAGCAGTCCACATCCATGGGTTCACACTATCGGTGCCCAGCAGAAGCTCTGAAATGTGGAGAATGTCCCTCTGCTTCTTTCTGCAGGAAGTGTTCTAGTCTGGATCCCTTAGCAGCCCAAGCCCACCTGTCACAGAACTGTCCCATATAGGTTTTTCCTGGTGCTGACCCTTCCCAGCAAACCTCAAAAGTTACAGTATGGTCTAGCCAGATAGTTTATGATCTCTTTAAACATACTTCCTCCATACAGCCTTAGATCCTAAATGTAAAGTACAAGTCCAGAGAGGTCTACAATTCTACACAAAAATATGGTTAGAATAAATGTCATTGTCAGAAGTCATTCCATGCCTTTCTCCCCTTCCCCATCTCAGACATTTAGGAAGGAAGATCATGAGAGCAAAACTATATAATTTTATACTTTGGAAAGGACCACCCTAATGGGAAGAGGGGTAGTAATTGTCTTACAGAGATGAGATGCATGCCTGTCTGGAGTACTTTCTTTACATTTGCAAACTTTCTGGAATTGACTCCTACCCAATTTTGTCCTGCAAGAGAGCCAAGATTTCCTTCCAGCGGAGTCCCTTGGTAAGGTGCTATTCTCTAATGAGATAAGATGAGGTACTGAAATGTGACAACCATCCACTTGATTAAAAGCAGATCACTAGTTTCATAATTGCCTTCATTTAGGAAGCCAAAATACCTTTTCATCCCATGGACCATTTCTTCTCTTCAAAATAAATGACACTGTCAATATTTTTCCCCCTTGAGTCCTTGTTCCAATTGAATTCTGTCTACAAAAGAAAATTTTCTTGATTTTACACGTGGCAGGATTCTTCACATCAGAATTTTATGTTTCTTTTTTCTAAGAAACAATTTGGCACCAGAGAGGATCTTAGAGATGATTCACTTGAAAGAGCAAATTGGTCCTATAACTCTGATCCCTTGATTTCTCCAGCAGTTGCTCTTTCATTCAGCAAACCTTATTAAGCACCTACTGCGTGCCAGTAACAACCATGCTTTCCCCTATACATCATCCTACTTTGGCTGAAATTAAACCAAAAGGCAATCTTAGGGAATTCTGAGTTACTGGTAAGTTTGATGGTAAAGAACTGGTCTTAAAAATTGAATAATTTTTAAGTAAGGAACCATTCTTTTAAAAATTGGATAATTAAGCAGTATTTACTCAATAGCTTCTCTGACATCTACCAAGACCATGTTGGCGCATCCATGATAGGGCCATTGTTTTAAGGCTTTCTGGAGAACAGGTTACCGTGTCCCATGAGCCAGGGAATAAACTAGAGCAGAGGTTCTCACTGGAAGTAGTTTTGCTCCAGAGGGGACTTTTGGTAGTGTCTGGAACATTTTTGTTTATCATGCTGGGGAGGAAGAATGCTTCTGATGTGTGATGGTAGGAGCCTGGAGTGCTGTCAGACACCCTACAGTGCTTCAGACAGTCCTCCAAAAGGAGCCTTCAGGGCCAAACTTCAGTGGGGCCGCAAGTGGAGAAACCCTGGCCAGGAGAAAAACAGTGGTGAGGAAGAGGAGTCTCTGGGTTTTCAAACCCTGACAGCCCTTTTTCAAACAGAGCAGTACCACTTGTCTAATTTTATATAGAAAAATTCTGCGTTTTCTGCGAGAAGTATTGTTTAAAAAGCATGTTTTTCCTACTTCGAAAAAAAATGGAAGGCTGCTACGATAGAAGGTGATGATTCCTTGCATCCCATTTTACATCTGAGTCCAATTAGAACAAATAAAAGTAGGCAGAGATGATATAGCAGGAAGGCAAATCTTGGGGAGCACCTATCTGAGTCTCGGTCTTGGCTACTTTCAGACTCTGTTCATCTTCTCAACATTTGTGAGCCAGGTTGAAGCAATGTGATTATGGCTGTGTGTCTCTCAGGGAAGACCAGGGGTTTGTGGCTCTTTTTTGTAAAGCACCAGATCCTAAGTGGTTCAGACTTTATGGGCCACTATCCATGTTACAACACCCAGCCTTGCCACCATGGCCCTAAGACAGCCATAGGCAATCAGTAAACAAATAGGAGTATTTACAAAAACAGGTGCCCAGCCAGATTTGGCCAAAAAGGTATAGTTTGCTGACCCCTGATTTAGACCAAGGAGAAAAAAATGTTTATTTTTTCCTCACGTCTGCCCTTTCTAATGCTTATGTTGACACATGGTTGAGGTTGGCTTAAGTAACATTTGCTAAACAGTGTTGAGGGTCAATCGTACAAGCACAAACACTAGACAGTTTTAATGAGTAACGAGTGGAAAGAAAGACCCACCCAGTATTTCCCAGGGAGTTTCTGTATATTGTTTAAATATTTCCCCATGTTGAACATTTAGGATGCTTCCAGTATTTTATTATTAATAATAGCTCTTTCGTACTAAAAAAATTCTTAGCCTCATTTCCTTAGCATCCATTTCTAGAAGAAGAATTTACTGCATCAAGCAGTATATATTGCTAAATTGCTTTCCAGGAAGGTGGTATTGATCTACATTCCTACCAGTAACCCAAGAGAGATATTTATCATATGCAAAGGATTTCTTTCAACAGAATGTCATGAATAAAAGTTTTGGCCACCATATGGACTTCCACAAATTAGCTCCCCATAAATATAAGAAAATTGGCGTTAGCTACGAATCATTTTCATATTCTCCCACCATTATAATGGCGTGGTTATTAATGTAGGCTTTGTTACCTGTCAGGGTCATCCAGCCGACCAGTGAGGTTACTGGGTCCATGTGTTTACAGAGAACACGGAGAAACACATGCTTCCCATTAGAGAATCGGAACCTCTGCTGTCTGAGCGCCTGGCACCAGCCTCCCTGCCCTGATGGACAGAAGCCTCCTCCTGTGAAATTCACCACCAAATATGTCATCCAGATTGCTCATTTCCCTCAGGAAATTCCATTTAGGCTAATTCTGGCAAATAATTGGGGGGTAATTCTTGAACAATTTCTCCTGCAGTGACTTACAATGTGCAAAATTTTCCTATGACATAGTATCAAAAAAAAAAACCCTGGAAAAATAGAATTCTGATACTCATCCAGTCACCTTTGTAAAAACAAAAAGAAAAAAATACCCCTTCTGAGTTGTAGGACATGGTAAGCAACAGTCATAGAGTGGAGACAGACTAAGAAGCAGGTGTTTTTTCTGGCTTTTCTCACTAGATGCCATTTGAGCAGTGACTGTGCAGGAGCCGTGTAAAAAGTCTTGTCCTCATGGCAACTGTGGCCTTCTTGTGACTTTCCGAGCTTTTCAGCCTTTATCCAAATGAAAAAGAGCATATTTCTGACTGAAGAATAAAAGCAAATGCAGTAGAAATAGAAGAATTCCAGGTGGTTATGTGATGATGATATTTACTTAGAACAAGGTAGGATTTCAAACGGGATCAAATCAGTGAAGGCAATGTTAATAATGCCCAGCATTTTCCAAGAAGCCACCATATTACAGCATTCTGCTACACGTCACACACACACACACACACACACACACACAGCCACAGCCACAGAGTTTTAAAAATGGAGATGCAGAACAATTTGTTGTCCTGTTGAAAGGCACAGCACACATAACTGGCCAAGCCAGAAAAAAAATCTAGAAATGGCAGACTCTAATGTCCACCTTAAAATCCCCTGACGACACCTTCGTGGCAGCTCTGATAGAGTTTAGAAAATCACTATTAAGTCATCCTCATCAGAGGCCAATTGATCAGACTTCTGATTCACAAGCCAGAATCTAGGTCAAGTTCTTTTCTGGACTCTGTGTCCTGAAGTCCTGGAGGATGCTGGAACTATTTTTGGTATCATCAGAGAGAAGTCAGGGACTGAGCCAGGAACATACTGCAGGCTCCCTGCCACTTACCATCTTTCCTGTTTTTCCTTCCAAATGGTATCAAGTGTACTTAACAATTACATAGTGGTGTTCTGGAAGAGAATACCAGCTGCTTTAAGAAAATAACACAGTACATAATCTGTTTTTGAGTTACTGATATAATCCTGATGCAGAAATTCCTCATTGCTTAATAGCTTATGATTATCCCTATAAGTATTTTATCTCTCCTTTTAGACTTAAATTCCCAAAGACAGGCCCTGTGTCTGACTCACCCTGGGCTTCCCAGGTGGCCTGTTATAATCACTCGACAACATCAGTGATTAAGTACATGTGTGCATGTTTAGATGTTGTCATGGCTGATCCTTCTTGTCATGCAAGAGTCAGTAATCTGGCAATAGTCATTAGCTAGATTACTGACACTGTGTTATGATCCTTCTTGTCATGTCCTAGCCCAGAGGTAACTTCCTCAGCCAATCTGTATTATCTTTCATTATATCATATGATCCTTACCACAGCACTATGCAGGTGAAAGGACAGTTGTCACATGTAAACATGGCCTCAGAGCTAAAAATATAGGTCTTGAATACATACCTTCCAGTCCTCATTTGGTCCTTCCTGCTTTGTGAAGTAGATGTGGGATATTTTCTAAGTCCCTAGCAACTCCATCTCTCAGAGATTTTGGTTAGCTACTGGGACACCCAAAAGTGTTTCTAGTAGTTTCTTTTCCCACTTCAATGAAGGTTCACACGGTTGTTCTTCTGACTTCTCCCTTGAGGAACAAACTGTGGGCAGAGTTCTGGATGAGCTCTGAGGAGACAGGGCATCATCTCTCTATGACGCTTGGATATTGACCAGGAAAAATGTAAAAACCCTCTTTCTTAATGTCTCGGTTCACTCAGAGTGACAATGCCATGCAAGTAGTCTGGTGGCAGTCCACCAAAGTGTGAAGACTATTTTCATATAATGTCTGATTCACGAGATCAGACAGCCTTTTAATCTGTGTCTTTGATTGTCTAAAGTGGTCTGTGTTTGAATAATTTCCTAATAATCCCATTCTGACTGAGCTGGGGCTGTGGACTGATGTGACATCTGGCTGATCAATTGGTGGCTCTTGTTCATTGCTGAACTGTCCTCTCTACACTGTTTACAAGAGAGACTTACTAGATGTCCCGCACCATCTAGATAAGACCCACTCCACACAACAGCCTAAGATGTCATCCAGAAATAGGCCTGAGCATGGCGCCCTCTTTCTTCAGATATCTGCTGGTTACAGATTTCATGGGATAAAGATTCTAATTCTTCACCCTGGCAAACAAGAATCTTGACAAGTTTGGTTGAATCTGGGTGCCTTACTTCATCTCCACCAGCTCCCTTAACCCCTTAGCCTTGTCATTCCATGGACATGCTTTGTTCTTTCCACTTTCCATGCCTTGTATGCATGCCACCTTTGTCCCAGGAGAATGAGCTCTGTCTGGGACAAGTTGAGTTCAGGTTAGCAGGAATGGATTAGAGTTTGAAAGAGGGGAGGGAATGAGGGTGAGATGTTACTACAAAGAGCAGGGAGTATCAGTTAGCATCTGTGTCCATCTTCCTCATCAACCATGGTCACACTCATCTGCTTGAGTCAGTTGGAAGCTTGCTTGGCAGCGTGGGGTCCATGTTGGTGATGGCGTTTCCTCTTTTCAAAGCAAAGGAGAACCCAAGGCAGTGAGGGTATGGGAACCACATACAGAAGACAGTCCTGCAAAAATGTGCCATGGAGCAAGGACAAGAAATATTTGAGGGAGGAGAAATACATAGCAAACATGGCATTTTGAAAGGCTAATTGGATGTAAATGAACATATCGAGAGGATGTTCTGTTCTTGTCAGAAGTAATGTTTTACAGAGAAGTTATTTGTGAAGAGAAACCCATTTTTGATAGACTAATGTGCACATAGGAATATGGAAGCAATAAGCACCTGCACAAAGATATCAATCAAACATGAAGTTTAGAGGAGGCCCAATGAACACCTTCGGATCTGACCCAGCTTTTGGGGTTTGACCTGCTAGACCCACGTAACACACCCAGGGTTGTTTAACAAAATCAAAAGTAGTCTTTGAAAAGTTTGCTGACCACTTTGCCTCTGAGAGGTGGTCTGATTGCTCTTAAGAATTCCAGCCTGTGAATCATCAAACATATGTCTCACGTTTTTGAACACTATTCTGACTTCAAGCATCTTTCCATATCCCCATAACCTAGGGAATAATCCTGTAATCTCAATACCTCATCATCCACTCTACATTCTGCTTACTTCCATCCACCCAGAGACATGTGACAGAATTCTTTGCTTAGACCGTAAGTCCCAATTTTGAATTCAGGAAACATGATTATGAGTCTTACAGAATCAGCTCCAGAAGTAAAAAAAAAAAAAGATTACATTCTGTTCCAAAGTTTGATTTTTTCGTAATGCAACATAAATCTTCAATAGGAACATGAATGGGGGTGCTGTAGATAAAGCAAAAGGATCATGAAATAAGTCATGGGAATGATCTTTTAGGGGAACATTCTGGAAAGTTCCCTAAACAAGACTGACCGTACAAAGAATGCTCCATTAGTTTGAAGCTTATCATCTTGTTTGTTGCTGTTCCTGGCTGTCTGCTCCAGGAAAACTGTCTTGGTATAATTGGGCACAGTTAGTAGGGTAGATTCTGATCTCAAACAAGATTATTTGATTTCCTAAGAAACTGGGCCAGGGAACATGATTGGGGGTTACTTTGCGAGATGTTTATAGTATCTGTAATTAGGAACAGAAGACTTGGAAGCCGATATCAGTTTGGGGTGTGGTACTTATCATGGTTCCAAAGAGATTCTGTAAGATCACCGTCATGAAGAAGACCCCAAGGAACCAGCTCTCATGAAAAATCAAGGGGTTTTATTATCCGAGCACGCGTGGGACTCCACAACACACTCCGGTGGGGAGAGTGCCCGGGTAGGGGAGTGCAGAGTATATAAAGCCAAAAACCGCAAAGCATTGGTTACAGAAGCAGATGGCATTGGTTAATAGGTGTCGTGTCATTTGCTTATTGGTGGGTGAGCTATCCGCTGCAGGTGGCTTGATGTTTTTGAAAACTCATATCCTGTCTGGCAGGGTCGATAGTTCACAGTGCTCTTATTTTTGGGGACGTTGGACCACAACTTCCCTATCAGGCCAGAACATCTGGTTGTTCTGACCGTGTGACAAGGCAAGAGGGGGTTTCCTAAATGTTTTAACTCTTCATTCCCCCCCTTTTCTTGTGAGGATCTCTAATCCTAGAGATTATTAGTAGGTATTGGGTCATATTGGTATCTCAAGACCATCATCTTTACCTGGGAGACATGTGATCGCACCAGATGTGTGATCTTGTTTAGAACGCAAGGGCCAATGGTAAGGATTAAGAGCAAAGCAGCTGAAGGGCCTAGGAGGGGGACAATATAAGGAGCTAGCCCTTGCCATAGGGAAGAGAAGGATGTCCCTGAAGAGTATTTTTTTTTTTCTAATTTTGATATTTTCTCTGAGTTTGGACCTGGTGTCTTTTACTATGCCTGAATGGTCAACATAAAAACAGCACTCTTCTTTTAGAGCGGCACATAGGCCACCCTCCTTTAGGAGGAGTAGGTCCAGTCCCCTCCTGTTTTGGAAAACTACTTCAGCCAACAAGTCTATTTGGTCTTGAATGACCTGAATGGTACTAGATAATGCCTGCACATCACTAACAATCTGGTTGGAAGGTTGGACAGAAACCCCTACTCCTGCTGCCCCGATACCTAAGGATCCTGATATCTCTAAGCCTACCAATAAGGAATAAATTGGATTGTCCTCTTTGAGTGGCCTGTGATGTAATCTAGGAATGGGGACAGGCTCATCCCCGGGTAGGATCTCTATATCAGGCAACAGGACAGCTGTTACACATATCCCTGTCCAGTTAGTTGGGAGGAAGGTATAGGCCATATTTCCTCCACAAATAAATACTTGTCCTTTGGCAGGATAAAGAAGGTAGTCCGGTTAACTATGAAACTACAATCAGTAAATGTAACGAACTCCACGTCAATGTTGGAGGTATCGTTATGAAAACCTCCTTGGAGACAGAAAGAGTCCTTGAAGCCTACTGGTTGTACTCTAAAGGGGGGACCAGCACTATAATTTAAGTAATCTTGCTTCTCTAGTGTAGCCAGAGAAACACTGCTGGGGATGGCAAAGGGGATGGGGGAGCCCTGTGCCATGCATAACCAGCAATTCTTCAGCCAAAGTTGGGTTGGAAGCATTTAAGGCTTTATGAGTGGCCTCTAGAATATCATAAGTTTGAGCATCCAGACCAACTCCCCGCGATTTAGGCAGCTTATTTTTATTAGCAGCTTGACTCGTTCCTCAACCACCAGAGTTTTCTGATCTTATCTTGTGGCCTGCCCCTATCAGACACATGTATCTAGGCCACCCTGCTCCAGCACACTGATTTATCAACCATGCTGAGACATGAGGCTTGGGCATACTTTGAACTTCCTATTACTGTCAGATTTGTCAACCAATCACCTATAACTCTTTCAGCCCTTGTCCTCATAAGCTCAGCAGTGAAGTAAGTTTTGTTATCTATGCCTATACATTCTTGTACAGAGTCATAGCAGGAGGAATGCATTTCTGAATACTAAGAACAATTCTGAGGGCATGGCCCTCACTGGCTGCCTTTGTTAGGTATCACACGGGGCTTTATCATTCACATCCACCTTTTAATCAAACCCCCTGTAACTGAGGGTATAGCAACAAGGAATGTTAACTTGTCCCCACAATCTGTCCGAAAGACTGTATATATACAATTTATCATTTGTGTGGGAAGGATCTCGATCCTTGTTTCCTATTATATGTATAATTCCCCCCAGTTGGTGTCTTTACCTTTAGTAATATAGCCCCCTCCACAATCACAGGAGCTCCCACATAAAGATCTTAACAATTGTTCTTCGCTTACAGGGGGACCAAAGCCGCCATGCAAGGTCGGCATCAGTGTTATTAAAATCAAAGCAAGCAAGCTAAAACAGTTCATGACCAGCATAGTCTAACTATGTCTTAGTCAATTTTAACTTTAAGGTGTTACCAGTCTGCTGTGTAGTCCACTGAGTATGTCCCTTGTTGTCCGCTGTTTCCAGTGGCTTTACATGAGTGTAGTGAATCCACGCAGTTTTTCCTGCTACCTTGATGGCAGTGGGGGTACTGAGCAACACAGTGAAAGGTCCTTACCAGCGGGGTTCGAGGGAGTCACGGTGGTGACATTGCACCAAGACTGGAGTCCCTGGCTTGATCGGCACCTTGAGAGGTGTCTCTGAAGGCAGATCTGGGTGTTTTTGTCTAGTCTAAACAGCTGGTGGATTGAAGTCAACACAGGTTGGAGAGTCTGCCAGGACTTTATGAGATCTTGATTAGTTATTTTAGCTAGTTTATTTTCTGGCAATCTTGGAACCAATGGCAGGGGCCTCCCAACATGGCTTCAATGGGGGAAATTCCAGAAACATATGGGGTACATCTAGCTGTTAGTGCAAAGGGAAGAAGGCTCAACCAGTTATCACCAGTTTTTGAAGACAGCTTAGCTAAAGTGTCCTTGACACTTTGGTTTATACGTTCTACTTGCCCTGAGCTTTGTGGCTGATAGGCACAGTGGAGTTTTAATTAATCTTTAATTCCTGGAGGAATTAACAAATTAACCAACGGAGCGGTTCCCCACCCAGGGCAGAGTCACAAATGGCAAAAACCAATTGACTCTGTCCTCGGGAGGTTTCACTCCCCAAATTAAGGGCGTCCCCTTCCAAATTACAAATTGACCATGGCCCAAACAAACCCTCCAGAGTACTTACTTTCAGACGTTCAGAAATGAGTCTGCGATCTTGCTCCCATCCCGGATTGAGCCCCCAAATGCGATAACTCGGACCCCAGTATGAAATTCAAGGAAGCAAGAAATTAAAATTTGGGAAGCAAAGGCTTTATTTCCAGGCCTGGTGACACAGTCTCTCTAGGATCAACCCAAAGACTGCACACCTGACAGCTAAAAGTCAGGGCTTTTATCTTGTAAATCCACAAACAGCTGCTGGTCACACAATGTAAGGAAGGGGATGGGGGTGTGACGCACTACAAAGCAGAAATGGCAATTAACAACCTTAGTTACCTTACTTTAGCACCTTTTACAACTGTTTTTTGTAGAGGGCAACAATGGTTAACATATCAATTAGGTAAGATTTTACAATTCTTTACACAGGAGAGCGTTGATTAACATATCAATCCTTTACCCAGAGGGAAAGGAACACACAGGTATTGCTATGATACAAACGAACCTATTACAATCTAATGCAATTAACACAATTTGTGACGGGCTACCGGGTAGAGAAGGGAGGTTGTCAGGAGCTATTACCTCAGGCCTTTGTTTTATGGCCTTTTAGGAAGTTAAAACTTAACCTAGTTAGATTTGAAGGGGGAAGAGGAGGGAAAGCAGCAGGGCTTATACAGAACAGGCTTTACAGTGCGATAGTTAGGGGGCCTTAGGTTATTACAGTTCCCTTACTTTCGACCAATGGTCTAGAGTAAGGGAAAGAGGGGTTGAGACACTTTGTCCCATGATGGGACAAACAAATGACGCCAACAAAAGGACACGATTAGGTAATATGACATACATCACACACTTTGGCTGGCCACACTCACACAGGATCAGTGAATCCACCACCAATAGGGGGAGAACGAGAGACCCCTCCTGACAAACTGGGAGTCCGAGGGACAAATGGACTCCCAAACCCCTTTGGGGCGTCCCCCAAAGAAACTGCACTGTTTTTGGACCGGGAGTTTTAGACCAAATCAATCCAGGGCAGTCAAGGCAAATGATTGATCACAAAATGAAACTAAACAGAACGGCCGTACTTACCCCGAGAGGCACTTCATGGCCATTGGGGCCTCCTTCGGCGAGGGAGCGGATCTTGCTGGGGCCTCCAAATGTAAGATCACCGTCGCAAAGAAGACCCCAAGGAACCAGCTCTCATGAAAAATCAAGGGGTTTTATTATCCGAGCATGCGTGGGACTCCACGACACACTCTGGTGGGGAGAGTGCCCGGGTAGGGGAGTGCAGAGTATATAAAGCCAAAAACCGCAAAGCAAGTGTCGGTTACAGAAGCAGATGGCATTGGTTAATAGGGGTCGTGTCATTTGCTTATTGGTGGGTGAGCTATCCGCTGCAGGTGGCTTGTCTGCAGGGTATCCTGTCTGGCAGGGTCGATAGTTCACGGTGCTCTTATTTTGGGGGATGTTGGACCACAACTTCCCTATCAGGCCAGAACATCTGGTTGTTCTGGCCATGTGACAAGGCAAGAGGGGGTTTCCTAAATGTTTTAACTCTTCAATTCTTCCTATGAAATTTCCAGCCTGGAGCATCACTGACTCTCCCATAGTTCTGTGGGGCTTTGCAAAACAACTTTATTGTCCAACCTGCATAAATAAATTCCAGCCCACACGTCTTCTCTCATTCTTTTACCCTGTGTTATTTTCCTTCTTCCTGATCACCTAACTATCATGAAGTACACCACTTTATTTACATGTATTTTCATTGTCTGTTGCCCTTACCTGTGAAATGAACATTTCATAAGTAGCTAAAAACCAAGGTTCTTGCCCAGAGCTGGAGCTCTGTGCATACTGTTGAGTGAAGACCAGTGTAGACTTACTTTATAGGAGCAGGGGCAGGAGGAAGGGCAGTTTGAGTCCCACCTGTTTATCCACCATCCCTTTCCCCTGATTCTCCCAGGATGCCCCAGATTCATGCTACAAGAGTCTTCTCTTTTCTACCTCTTTGCAGAATATCGGCTGTGATGACTACTTGGGCTCCGACAAAGTCGTGGACAAGTGTGGGGTGTGTGGAGGTGACAACACAGGCTGTCAGGTGGTATCAGGCGTGTTTAAACATGCTCTCACCAGCCTGGGCTATCACCGCGTTGTGGAAATCCCCCAAGGAGCCACAAAAATCAACATCACTGAGATGCACAAGAGTAACAACTATTTGGGTAAGCTTGGGCTGTTTGCAGAGGAAACCGTCTCTTGCTGCCAGCTGGTGCAATCCTTCTGGGGTGGTGAGATGAACACAGGGGCATCCAGAGACATGTAGTTCTAGAAGTGTATCAAGGGTCATGGGGCATGCCCAGGAACCACATGACTGTCCTTTAAGTTAGGGAAAATAATCCTTTTTGCAATTAAATGTTTACATCTACACATTGAAACCAGCTTTTGCTTCTCAAAGGAGAAACATGGTTATGAAATGGGTAACAGCCTAAATTGTTGCTCTGAGCTGTCAGGGGCTCTTTGCAGAGTCCAGAGGTCTGCCCATCATGGGGTTTCAAATGGAACAGAAGTAATTGGAGATTCCATCTGGACACTCCTTCCTGAAGATCTAAAGTAAACATTCTTCATTTCTTTCTGCTTTATCTGTTCAGGTCAACTGTCTCCTACATAGTAGTACATATGTCTTCAAATCCCTCCCCAGTCATTTGGAGCCATGTCATCAATTTTGGGAGGGTATCTTTGACCCATTTTCCTGCAATAAGAGATCTTTGTTGACATTTTCTTCTGGATTTTCAGGCTATTTGCATTCCATCCAATGCAAAAATTAGTTTTTTACCAAGCTAATTCATGCAGATGTTACCGGAAAGCCAGATCCTAATACCACCACAAGTTCACAACACAGCAAGGAACCAGCAGCATACCTTGATTCTTCACGTCTTTGATGAAAGATTTCAGACAAGACACACGGGACATCATATAGAGCATAGGGAGAGTGTATTGCAAAATGATAGATTTTCAGAGAGAAATAGACTATGCCTTCAAGCATGAAGGAAGGCAAGCGCCAGTGTTGCAGTTACAACAAATGAGGTCACAGATGACATTTATATGGTAAATTAGGTCTTCCAAGGACTGTCCTTTGCTTCTTCAGCCTCATTGTTCCCTTATAAGAAACATAGACTGTTGACCTCGTTCACAGAGAAACAGGTCCCTGTACTCACAGGGCAGATGGTTTCCATTTAATTTGTTATGACCTTGTAGGTTTTTCAAGCCCCCTCCCTCACCCATGGCCTAGGCTTTGTCTGGTCCTTGGCCTTATCAGCATACTCAGAAAATTATGTTGTTTTGATCTCAAGTTGGAAATTTGTGTGAATTTTTTTTATCTATAACTAATGATTATGAAAGTGAAGGAAAAAGGAAAAAGCATCGTATTTTCTTTGCTTTGTAAGTGTTCCCAGCTCCTGTCCCCAGCCCTGCTAATGTCTAACCTTGTGCCTAGCATAAGCATGTACAAATCAGTTAAACAGATAACATCAGGAGGCTATTTCTTAAAGGCACTTATGAATGGCAATATTCAATTTTATTTTTAAATTATTTATTGAGCGGAACTACCTGTGTGTCGTGCAATATTCTTAATACTTTCCATCTACAAAGTCCTTAAGAGTCCTGTGGCATAGAAGCTGTTCACAACCCCATTTCATAGAAAAAGAAAGCAGGCTCAGAGAGATTATAAAACTTGCCAGCATCACACAGCAAGAAAGAAGTGGAGTGGAACTTGAACCCAGGCCTCTAGCTTTAAGCACGTTAGACTATCAGATAACACCCATGGGTGGCCCCAGAACCTGAGTTCCTCTGTCACCACTGGCCTTGTGTAGGCATTGTATGCAGTAATTGAAAGATCATTAAGTTTGCAACTTCCAAGGGTGATCCCCAGAAAATACCTGCAGCCCCAAGGCTTCCATATTCTGCAGCTCTCTCTTCCCACCCATATACATGCAGCCAGGAATAACTTTGCTGGGTTCTATTGGCCAGAGAAGGAAGCAATGGCTGGTAGGTGTTGGATACAAACCCAGTTAAAGCAGACATCTGTCATATTTGCTCTGGTGGATCCAGGAGCCACTGAAGTGGCACACAGCCTAGTTTCCCAGTGAGTGGTTTGCATATTATTTTTAAGAGCAAAAAGAAAAAGAAAAAAGAATCTTTATGTGTCTCCTCCTTTCTTTTGTACTTTTATAGGATCACATCTTCCTAAACATCCATACATATAGGATGGAAAATATTCTTCCAGGGATTATTTTAAGTGTGGTTGTGTTCAAGTGCACCAGCAAACAATGCCACTTTTCATTAGCTTTGTGTTGTTCTTAGTAAGAATTTCCTTAGCTATACTTAGTCCTATTCCATCAGCAGTTTCAAGTTCTGTTCTGTGAAGATAAATATATACTGAGAGTGAACTGCACCGTACATCTGAATGCGAACTGCCCTCAGATGGGAGTAAGAATTGTGACCTGAGTAGCAAAGATAACAGATTGAACAGAGCTGACACTATATGGTTGACAAATGTCCTGGACCTTTCTTTTGTCTCAGAGTTAATCAGGACCTCAAAACTTTGTCGTATTAAGAAAAAAATTCCTCCCCCCAAAGAGAGTTGAAGAGGAGGCAGGAAAATGGAAGTACCAAGAATCAATGGGAGGGTGATTCAGAAAGTCAAGGCCTTATGCACCCTGGGGTACAGAAGAAATGCAGAGCCCACAACAGCGTGGCCTGAGCACTGCATGCGCAAGAAGAAAATAAGGAAGCAGAAGAGGGCTAATAGCGCACTAGTGAGGGCCCATTAAACTTAACTCACTTTGGCTAACAAGATCTGGCCTACTAGGCTCAGATCCTGCAGGCCTGAGCCTGGCCCCAGCCCTACCATAACTCAGAGGAAGGCCAGGCCCTCTGGGCTGAGGGAGAGTCCAGCTCACCCTTTACGACGCTACTGTTTCATCTCCAAAGCTGGAAAATCTGTGGCATTCAACGATGCGCACATTTTAGCAGACCAAGTGTTTACTTCCTCATTTCATGTCAGGTTATAAACTGACAGAATTATTAGGAATGAGCCCCAAATTTCTGTTTATTTGAATTGGTTCATGTCTTCCAACATTTAGTGGATCCCAGATCTTTTTTTAGTGGGAAAGTCTTTAGAATCCCTAACATCTGTTGTAAAGCTATGAATTCTCCTTTTGTATGTGAATTATTCTCAGTCTGCTATTTAGAGGGGAAAAGTTCAGTCTAATGTTACTAGAGATGACTGACAGAGTCTCTATTACTTGTTTCTTGCTTAATAAGATGTTGTAAAATTATTTTAGCTGAAATATCAAAGTTTGGCATGGTTTGGTCAGTTCAGTTTTCTAATGTCGTTATACAACAGTTAAAAGAGATCAAACATAAAAGCATTCCAAGCAGAAACTGATTATTCAGGACACATTCTACCTGCCAGCAAGTTACACTGTCACAGAGTTACAGACTTGGAAGGAATTTCTGAAGAGCTGTAAGCTTTTAAAAATAAACTGGCAGGACATTTACTTTTAAGCATGTTCTTGAAAGTTTTAAATAATAGTAGTCAACATTTTAAAAATCAAGAAGTATGGATTATCTGTAATTTGCAAACTTGATTAGTTAAGCAGCTTTCTTTTGAATGCTTAAATAATGTGATATCTTATGTTCATAAGATAATTTATCCCCAAAACTTTTTTTCCTTGTGATGTAAAGATTTCAAGCTATATAGATAGGAAATTTTTTCCCTATTTATGAAAATGCAGAAGTAAGCACAGTAACCACGTTTAACAGTTCTTATATTCTCAAACCCTTTATAGAAGTGAAAAATGTATCTGTTTTCTAAAATTGATATTGCTACATACTTTTTTGTAGTTTGCTTACAAACTACAAAGATATATGTATTCATTGAGAGTTTTCGAGTGTAGAATATTCTATATGATAGATATAATTTATTGAGGCACTTCTCTGTTGAAGGATGTTTAGATTATCTTTGGAATTTTAATATCACAAATAATACTTTAGGTTTTTGGCTCAAGGTGATATCAGATTGGGTATGGTGGTGCATGCCTGTGATCCCAGCCGCTCAAAAGATTGGAGGCAATAGGATTGCAACTCTGAGGCCAGCCTGAGCTGCATAGCAAGACCCTGCCTCAAAACCAAATTTTAAAAAGAGAAGTAGGGCTTGAGCCTGCAGATTTTAAAAAGGGATGTGTGGCTCAGCGCACACGATATCTGGGGTGGCCTGTCTGTCTCCATCCTGGCCCTGCCACTGAACTGGTCACCACAGAGCTGCTCTTCCCGCATCACTTTGTACAGTGATGCTCTTGGACATGTTTTGAGCCTTTATGAGACTCAGTAGGCAAGGAAAACAATTATAGGTTTTTTTAACATGAGTCTAATTTGAGAAACAATTATAATTTCATAGAGCTTTGAGCTGGGATGATCAAAAGGCATCTCATGACTATTGGTTCTTCCCTCTCCCTGCGTCAGGATTCTCATTCTGCTCTGAGAATCTCGGGAGTTGTAGTTTTAAGGCATGTTTGAAAGATACCAGTGCCTGAGTCCTGCCTGTAGGTTAACTTGATTGTGTAAAATCTTCTGTGATACCAATATCCTTTCAGGTTAGGAAACCGTTTCCCTGTGTCTGCAGGACTGAACCAGGGGTTATTATGTACCACCCACCCTCTTCCTCTGGGTAACGGTTGGAGGCATTTTTGATTGAAACAACAGGGGCAGAAATGGGGCAGCAGATGGCACAGGCATCTCGGTTGTCCCCAGGGATGCAGCCAGCCATCCTGCAGTGTACCAGACGGCCCCCACAGCAGAAGTCCTCAGCCCCAAACTCTAAGAAGGGATCTTGGCCGGTATAATTGCCTAGGATCCCTTGTGCTGAAGTGATGAGTCCTCTACTTCAGAATGATGCTTTTAAAATACTAATAAATATCTCAGGTGCTATTGGAATGGCCGCTCATCTACCATCGGGTTTACATTTACTCCTACTCTTAGCTTCCAATCCAAGTCCCTTCGTTCATTTTGCCGTGGAAGACTTCACCCCGTTTGTTGGTGGGGGCCCCCAGTTCACAGTTGTCCCCAGCTGTGAAGCAGACTAGCAACAGAGATTCCAACTTCAAATGCTTCCCTTCGCCTGCCCTTCTGGCATTTGGAGTCCTTTCTTGCTTTCTTAATATTG